TCCTCTTTCACTTTCATCAAGAGGCTTTTTAGTTCCTCTTCAATCTCTGCCATAAGGGTGGTGTCATCTGCATATCTGAGGTTATTGATATTTCTCCCAGCAATCTTGACACCAGCTTGGGCTTCTTCCAGCCCAGCCTTTCTCATGATGTACTCTACATATAAGTTAAGTAAGCAGGGTGACAATATACAGCCTTGACGTACTCCTTTTCCTATTTGGAACCAGTCTTTTGTTCCATGTCCAGTTCTAACTGTTGCTTCTTGACCTGCATACAGGTTTCTCAAGAGGCAGGTCAGGTGGTCTGGTATGCCCATCTCCTTCAGAATTTTCCACAGTTTATTGTGATCCACAGAGTCGAAGGCTTTGGTGTAGTCAATAAAGCAGAAATAGATGTTTTCCTGGAACTCTCTTGCTTTTTTGATGATCCAGCAGATATTAGCAATTTGATCTCTGGTTCCTCTGCCTTTTCTAAAACCAACTTGAACATCTGGAAGTTCTCGGTTCACGTATTGCTGAAGCCTGGCTTGGAGAATTTTGAGCATTACCTTACTAGCGGGTGAGATGAGTGCCATTTATCAGTAAGGATGCATTTATTTTTAAGGTACCATAATATTCAACTCTAACCGGCTTAAACAAAAAGATCACTTCCCTAATTCTTGGGCTTAGAGGTAGGATAGTATGAATGTTTACTTAATCCAGAGGCTCTGGACTTCCTTAGCTCTTTAATCCCCCTCATATTTATTTCAAGCTCAGACGTGTATGAAGATACCTACACCAGACGTGGAATTTACATCCATGCAGGACAATATCCAGAAAATATCTTTTCCAAGACACCCTTAGCTAAGTCTCTCTTGAGATTTAATGACCTTTCATGAACCAACTGAAAGGGGGATTGGAATTGATTTGGTTGACATAAACATTAAAGCCCATCCCTGTTGGCATTAAACTCCAGCTTACAAAAATGGGCAGTTTCAGTAATGCTTTTATCTAGTCCTCTTCTACCTAGCTAAACTTAAAGATCTGAGTATCAAGTGATAATCTAGGAGAAAAAGACTATTAACATAGCAGTGGGTTAAATTTCTGTTATATATCTACATCCATACAATTTTCTATAATTTATACCAAAACTTTTAAACTGTTATTCCTATAAATTATTTGGTAATTTGGACCATAAAGAAGGCTGAGTGCAGAAGTATTGATGCTTTTGAACTGTGGTGCTGAAGAAGACACTTCAGAGTCCTTCGGACTGCAAGATCAAACCAGTCAATCCTAAAGAAAATCAACCCTGAATATTCATTGGAAGGACTGATGCTGAAGCTGAAGCTCCAATACTTTGGCCACCTGATGGGAAGAGCTGACTCATCAGAAAGGACCCTGATGCTGGGAAAGGTTGAAAGCACAAGGGGAAGAGGGCAGCAGAGGATGAGATGGTTGGATGGTATCATCAACTCAAAGGACATGAGTTTGAGCAAACTCCAGGAGACAGTGAAGGACAGGGAAGACTGGTGTGCTGCAGTCCATGGTGTCATGAAGAGTCAAACACAACTGAGCAACTAAACAACAGAATTCTTTCTTAGGACTACGCATCATCCCATTTGTTTAATAAGAAAGTCTGTACCTCTGTAGGGCTTATAATCTTCATTTAAGACAATAGTATTTTCAATTTTTCATAAATCAATTTTCTCTGAGTATATGAATATAAATTGTCACACTAATGGGACAGACAAGGTTATATTCTAGCTCTGGGATCCAAACCTAATAATGTCCTATGTTTGTCATCATTTAATCACTAAATTGTGTCCAACTCTTTATGACCCCATGTATTAATAGCTCGCCAGGCTCCTCTGTCTATAGGATTTCCCAAGAAGATACCGGAATGGGTTGCCATTTCCTTCTCCAAAGGATCTTCTGGACCCAGGGGTCGAACCTGTGTCTCCTACACTGGCAGGTGGATACTTCACCACTGAGCCACAAGGGAAACCCAACAATAAAGTTCTAAGGTTCTCCCTAGAAGTTTCAGTTCAGTTCAGTCGCTCATTCGTGTCCGACTCTTTGCAACCCCATGGACTGCAGCATGCAAGGCCTCCCTGTCCATCACCAACTCCCAGAGTTTACTCAAACTCATGTCCACTGAGTCAGTGATACCATCCAACCGTCTCATCCTCTGTCATCCCCTTCTCCTCATGCCTTCAACCCAGCATCAGGGTCTTTTCAAATTAGTCAGTTCTTCGCATCAGGTGGCCAAAGTATTGGAGTTTCAGCTTTAGCATCAGTCCTTCCAATGAATATTCAGAATGAATATTCAGGACTGATGTCCTTTAGGATGGACTGGTTGGATCTCCTTGCAGTCCAAGGGACTCTCAAGAGTCTTCTCCAACACCACAATTCAAAAGCATCAATTCTTTGGTGCTCAGCTTTCTTTATAGTCCAACTCTCACATCCATACGTGACCACTGGAAAAATCATAGCCTTGACTAGACGGGCCTTTGTTGGCAAAGGTCTAGAAGTTCATCCAACGTGTTTTGAGAGTCTCCAAGTTATACCTGCAGGTGCAGTCAGCTGCTCTTTCAAATGCACTAGGTGCTTGCTGACCGTAGCCTTGGCTCTTCTCGCCTCTTCTCTTCTGCAGTACCTTCTGCTGGGAAACACCCTGTCCTCTGGGCATGGCATCCTTTGTTGCCATCAATGCCCCATCAATCTGCACTGAACACCACCACCACTCCCCCAAAAGCCTCAGAACCCCCTAAGTGGGTGGTATCCTCACTGATATAAGAGAGAATGATGCTCTTCCCCACTACGCCCTACTTCATGGTACTGATATTGACTGTACCCCAGAGTCTTACATAACCCCAGGTTAAAAACAACTCAAAATGGTGACATTCCCATCATTAGGGTCAAGCACAAGGTCAGAGGACAAGAAACCTAGTTCCAGAGAGAGACACCTCGCGCTCTTCTCCAACTTCAGGCTTCCAAACTCTCATGCAGATGTTTATTCAAATAACTGTTAAGGTCTCCCCCTGCAGTGGTCAGACCTGCCCAGGCATTTCTGAACTGCTACAGTGGACACTGAGGGACACTTCCCTCATAGCTTCCCTCAAAGCTCAGGGACGCTTCCCTCATAGCTCAGTCAGTAAAGAATCTGCATGCAACACAGGAGACCCGGGTTCAATTCCTGGGTCGGGAAGATGCCCTGAAGAAGGAAATGGCAACCCACTCCAATATTCTTGCCTGGAGAATCCCATGACAGAGGAGCCTAGCAGGCTACAATCCATGGGGTTGCGGAGTCAGACATGACTTAGTGATAAACCACCACAATGGACACAATACGGACTCAAGTCATAGTTTCCTCCAAAGGCTGTTTCTTACAAGAAAATTTGTTTACACTAAAGTAATCTTCCATGTTTGTATATCATATATTAATAAAAAATATTTTAACTAAATTATTTATTCTAGAAATCTGCAATGTGCCATTAGTTCCTACATGATCTAATAGGAACTCTTTAGTCATAAGAGGACATAGTGAACCATTTCTTTCAAGACAAGGGAGTCTGTCATGAAATGAACAGAACTTGTTTATTAACTATATCCCCTGTGCTGTCCACTATATTCCTAAAACTTATTTATTTTATGCTTATTAGTTTGTACCTTTTAAATCCTTTCACCTATTTTGCCCTCTCCCCACCCATTCCCCTCCAATAATCACAAATTTGTTCTCTGTGGGTCCGCTTCTGTTTTGTTACATCTGTCCATTTGTATTATTTTCCTTAGATTCCACCTATAAGTGAAAATATATGGTATTTGTCTTTCTCTGTCTTATTTGACTAAGCATAATATGCTCCAGATAATTTATATATAAATATATAAATGTACATATATTATAAATTTATATATTTATAAATATATATGTATATAATATGTATATTATATATATATATATATGTAAAATCCTGTGTTACAAAGAAAAAAAACATCTTTTTAGCTCATATCAGAAACTTAAGTATTCATCACATATTAGGTCACAAAAAAAGAGGAAAATAAGAACACACACACATCCACATGTATGTATATATATATATGAGTATGTGTGTATATATCTGTGAATATATATTTATGTATGTGTGTTTATATAAACACACACAATATAGTTAATCACGCTATTTTTCTTCAATAGTTGCAAATTGTTAAGAAAAATTTTAATATTAATTGCAGTAATGACAAACAAAAAAATAAAATTTAAAATAAATAAATAAATAAAATTTGTATAGATACCCTGACCACATCAAATCAAACATGAATTATGCAAATGCCATATCTTATCTTCATTTTGGCATGTTCCTAGAAACTTACCTGGGAGCCAAATAAATAAGTAAACAAAATTTTATCATCACAGGTAGGGTCAAGGCAAGGTAACAGAACAAAAGAGAGAATCATGACAATTAAACATATCTCAAACACATTTTTAGAAACTGCAAAAATTTTCTTAATATGTGTTTTAGACTATCATAAAAATTTTTAGATAAGTATATAGTTATTGAGCAATAGTTTTTATCTTTTATTTTAGAGATCAAACTTTATTAGAATTTGACTCAACAACTAACTTCTTATATTCTAGTTTAGTAAACAAATGTAAAATGAGTCAAGGGAGAGTCAAATCAAGCCTCATTTTACCAGTTATCCAAAAGCTTTACATCGGAAATACAAACTAACCTTACTAAACAATAAAAACTACAAAAATTTTCAAGTTCCACTAAATGAATTTTAAATAAATGTATACTGAAATGTAAATAATTTATCAGTATAGCATAACACTGTCTAGAAATTAATACCAGATAAACTTATGCTTCTGAACATCAGTTTAATGCCTTTATTAACGTGTAGCCCAGGGGGAAAAACTTTTTTGTTTGAATTGTTCTTGAAATCAAAACTGACACAATTAGGTTTGTCCAAGTGATGTTGATAAGGTAGTGAGTAATAAAGTAGACCCACTTTATTAAACTGACCTCATTAACTTGTTTTTTGTCCAGATGGAACACTTGACCAGAACTTGTAGAGGCAATTTCTTCATAGACTCTGTATCCAATATGGCTTCTGTCATCACAATCTCCAGTAAGCACAAATACCACCTACAGTTTTGGAAAAAAAAGAAGACAATTTAAAGCATTTGGGGAAATCATCATATGGTTATTGAGCACTTGCTATATATTAACATACTGCCAGGCAACTGGGAGACATGTGTATGTATGTGTGTGTGTGTGTGTATCTTCCTGATTCATGCAATTTACAAGTGATCTTGCAGTTAACCTTACAAAAGAGGTAAAGTTTACTTTGTCATTTTTGAATCAAAGCCTGGAAATCTGACTTGTTTTGGCCATAAGCACAAGGCAAAATGCACACTCTACTGGTTCCAAACTGACACTCAAGCTGCTGCTGCTTGCTGCTGCTTGAGTTGACTCTGTGAGACCCCATAGATGGCAGCCCACCAGGCTCCCCCGTCCCTGGGATTCTCCAGGCAGGAATAGTGGAGTGGGTTGCCATTTCCTCCTCCAATGCATGAAAGTGAAAAGTGAAAGTGAAGTCGCTCAGTCGTTTCCAACGCGTAGTGACCCCATGGGCTGCAGCCAACCAGGCTCCTCCGTCCATGGGATTTTCCAGGCAAGAGTACTGGAGTGGGGTGCCATTGCCTTGTGTATGTCCACTTGATCTCTTAGTGTTTCTGCCTTGGTCATGACAAGATTATGCCTAAACTGGATTACTGGTCTCAGAAAGAGGTGGAGAAACTTGCAAGGAAAAGCCAAGTCACCCAGAGATCAGCTGAGATAAGCCAAAACCAAACTATGCCTAGATACACAAGTGAGCAAGCAGAGCCTAGGGCAACTGAGTCCGACAAACATGTGAGAAATACATGACTACTGTTTTAAGTCACTGAGAGTTAGAACAGCTTGTTACTCAGCAATAGCTAACTGATACAATGAGTAATTGACTCAAACAAGATTTCACATAGGAGGTGACACTTGAAATAAAGGCTTTTTCTGTTAGGGCTATGCTTTTGTCAGTTATATGGATAAGATGATAACAAACATCTTAATTAAACCGTAATCATTTCTTTTCCATATTGTGAAACAATGCATTTACATGCTATGTACAAATATCACATATCCATTTACATTAAATGACACATACATATATACTGGGGCCCTTATATATGGATCCATAATTGTAGTTATTGACATTTGCCACACATGGCATAGTGAGAGTGGAGGCAATCTCTTACATGCTGTATTTCTTACAGCTGCGTTCAGATGGAAAATTGGGGGGTGGGGGGTTGACCCCTACTCACCTGTGACTGTTTCTGTTGGATAAGCTGCAGCACCTCATGAGCGAGTCGATAATCCTTGGATCGCGCATCAGTGAAAACATAGATGAAAGACCCAGGAAGAGAAATTTCCAAGGCAATTTTTATAGCTCCGATACTCATTTCTGGACAGTCGCCACCACCCTGTTGAGAAACAGTGAGAAAAATCCTATTATTTCAGTAGCAGAAAAGAGAGAGTTATAACAAATTGCCTTAGAAGCTCAAGAACCAAGAAAGTTCTCTTCATTTCTATTTTCTGTCCATTTGCTACTGGATTAACCACTTTGGTTACAAGGAGATGGAAAAGACATAAAGTGATGTGGAGACAAAAAAAAAACCACCTGTACTTATGGATAAATAAAAAATTCACCCCAGATACACAAAATAATAGAAATTTTTAAATACTTTGTAATTAAATATTGATCCACTCCCATTCTCATACATGACTATTTCATACATCTCCTCTTCTCTTATTCTGACTCTTATTTGATGACCTTCCCTCTATTGTACTGGGAAGACAGAAGCAATCAATAGAGAATTTTAATAAACTCCCACTCCAATACCTATTAACCTATAGTAATAGTAGCCACATGCCCTGCCTTCATGGTGAAGGAATCATTTCACTCACAGCTAAGGCTAACTTCTCATCTGTGCCTAATCAAGGACCCAGTTCCTGTGACCATCCCTTCTCTCCATTCCATTGTCAAAATTTTTCTTTTTACTGGATCATTTTCACCAGCAAACAAACAGACTGGTTTATCTCCTATACCCCAAGTTTCTGCTCTGATGTGACCAACCAGAGAAAACCTCCATGACCACCTTATGTAAAGTACAGCCTCTTTGTAGCTCTTTTCACACTGCTTCATTTTTACTACGAACACATAATCTCTGTGTTTTATCTGCTATTGTATTAAGCTCGAAATAGGCTTCCCAGATGGTTCTGGCAGTAAAGAATCCACCTGTCAATACTGAAGATGCAAGAGACGCGGGTTCAAACTCAGGGTCAGTAAGACCCCATGAAGAGGGCATGGCAACCTATTCCAGCATTCTTGCCTGGAAAATCCTATAGACAGAGAAGACTGACTGGCTATTGCCCATGGGGTTACAAAAATTCAGACTCAACTGAGCACACACTACTACTAGGCTCAATATATCATCCTAAACAAAAACAGACCTCGCCCTAAGAGGAATTCCTGCCACATATATTTCCTTCAAGCACATATGAATTCAAAGATAGAACTCTAAGCATGTTGTGTTTACAGTGTTAGACATTATATTCTAAATTTAGGACTATATCCTACTTACGCTATCATGTCATCAATGTTTTTTTCAAAATCACAGCTTTTAATGACTGTGAAATATTCTGTCTACATCCCATAATTTAGTCAGGCATTTCACTACTGCTGAAAATTAACGTTCTTTCAAATCTTCCTCTATTTTAAAGATATAAATACAAATCTATCATAGTATGATTATATCTATAATATATATTATATATTGTAGTCATTTTCCTCATGTTTCCTTAGCAGATATCAATAACTACAGGGCCAAGGAAATGAACTTTGAACCAGTATGTTTTGAGCAATGAGTAAGTGCTTAAACATCCTGCTAGGATTCGGGCACACAAAGATGAAGAAGCCAAAGCATCTTGCATTTAAGCAGCTCACGCCTACAAAAGGCAATCAAAGAAACAGCAGGGAAGCTTGGGAACATTTTGGGGTGGGAGGGCTTGTGATTCCACAGTCCATCAGAACCCAATAACAGTGAGTTCTTTCTCAAAATGAAAAGAATTACCTATAAGGTTTTATTCTAAACTCTGGAAATTCTATTTGATTCTCCTACTGTGGCTTTCCCTAGATTCCAAACAGTCTGTAATTTTGATACAGATACCCTGAGCACCAGAGGTCTCATCAGGGTCATATAAAACCAAGCATTAGAATTGTTTACCGTTTAGTCTGGACCACCTGAAGAATCTTTTCTTACACTGGATCCCACTCAATGCTTTTAGCTTTCAAACATCATGGATGGAATGAGTTGGAACCAAGCACCAACTGTTACAAATTACTTCTGAAGTGGAGAAACACTTTAAAATGTCACACATCAAAAACCACATCATTAAATAGTAGGGGGCTGGACGCTGTAGTGACTTTCGAGAAGATAACAGCTATCAACTCCCAGAAATTTTATTGTGTTAGCAGGTCCTTCTATTTTTTGCAGTGTTTCCTATCCTCTGTTACTGATAATGCATTTTCACAGCATCTAATTTAACAGGTGATACTGTTCTCAAAAACTTGTATACATGTATCCTCAGACTGTACCTATCTACCAAATTTCAATTTTCTGTTTACAATTGCTTTTTGGATGTCTACTTCTATATTTTTTACAGGGATCTACAATTCAGTGCATCTACTATGGAACTCATTATATTTCCTCAACTATACCGTCCCTATTTTGGGTACTGCCTGCCTAGAGGTTTAGTTTAAATCCTGAGTCACCTCTGACCCCTCCCCCGCCTTCCTTCAGCTAATCAGTGGCCAAGCCATTTTCCTTCTACATCCATTATGAATTTGTCCCCTCCCTTCCCCTTTACTTCCTACAATTCACTCTTCTTATCATTAATTGTATTACAAGTATAGCCTCCTATCTAATCTTCTGCTCTTCCGACCACCAAACTTTATATTTCCTGAAGTAAAGAGCTGCCTAGGGTCACATTCCTACCAAAATCTTTCATTAACTACTGTGTTAGATCAAAGTCTCTCTCTAGCTTGCTATCTCCCGATGTTCCCTCTTCAAAAACTGCTTCCTTGGTAACTAGACTTACCATGATAATCATTATGAAATATAGAGAAATATTAAATCACTATATTTTGTAATAGGAATTATGTGGTAGATCAATTATATTTCAGAAACAAATGAACTTATAGAAAAAGAAATCAGATTGTGGTTACTAGAGGCCGGGGGAGGGGGAACATAATGAAGGTAGTCAAAAGGTAATTTGTAACCACCTTGCAGTTATAAGTAAAACAAGTACTCGGAATGTAAGGTACAACATGGTAAATATAATCAACAATGTTATCTATGAAGGTTGTTGAGAGTAAACTTAGTTCTCATCACAAGGGAAAACATTTTTTAATTTCTCTGCTTTTACATCTCTTTGTGACCTTTGCACAAAGAAATATAAAACTAGAGATATCTCTCTGGTTTTGTATCTCTTTGCAACCCCATGGTGGGCAGCCTGCCAGGCACTTCTGTCCATGGAATTCTCCAGGCGAGAATACTGGAGTGAATTGCCATTCCCTTCTCCAGGGATGGAACCCAGGTCTCCTGCATTGCAGGCAGATTCTTTACCACTGAGTCACCCGGGAAGCCCCTATACAGTGCTGTGTGTCATAATAATTATACTTCAATAAAAGTGGAGGAAAAAAATTGCTTCTTTTAATCCATTTTCTATGCTTTAATTATGTCCCTTGCTTCACACCTTAATTCTTTTAGTATTTTCATTTAAATACCCTTTCTACTGTTCTACCTCAACCATCAAACATTCCTCACCAATGTATGCATGTCTAAAATCTCCCATTTTCCATAAGCTCTTTGATGGTAGTAATGGTGTGCTAAATCCTGAGTCCGCAGATCATAGCATTTGCTGACATACAGTAATTGCTTAGGAAATATTTGTCAGATTGAACTATTTTCCTTCCAAGTTCAATATAATATGACCTCCTCTCTTGAAAATGTTCTCTTTTCTCCCATTCAGATGTACTTCCTCACTCACTCTTCAGATGGACTCTAATTTGATTTCTACTTTAATAAAGTGTAACACACTTTCCATGGCATAACAGTTATTGGGGGGGGAGGGATTATTGCATATAGCATATGCCCTTGAATGAGCATTTGTGTACTAGGAAAGTGGGAAATAGCTACTGGGCACATTGGTAACTTTAGTATGTTGACTAGGAATAATTTATACTTGTAGCCAACTTTGCATATCGGTAATGAATATCGTGGACCGCTCAAAAAGTTATTAGATTCCTATTGTATTTTCAGGCTTCCCTGATAGTTCAGTTGGTAAAGAATCTGCCTGTAATGCAGGAGACCCCGGTTCAATTCCTGGGTCAGGAAGATCCGCTGGAAAAGATAAGCTACCCACTTCAATATTCTTGGGTGTCCCCTGTGGCTCAACTGGTAAAGAATCCATCTGCAATGCAGGAGACCTGGGTTTGATCCCTGGGTTGGGAAGATCCCCTGGAGAAAGGAATGGCTACCCACTCCAGTATTCTGACCTGGAGAATTCCATGGACTGTATAGTCCATGGGGTCGCAAAGAGTCAAACATGACTGAATGACTTTCACTTTCATTGTATTTTCACAAGCTTAAGCAAAAAAAAAAAGAAAAATTTCTCACTTGTACTAGATACTGTGCACCTGAGTGTAAATCACTATATAAATTATCCATTTCACAGCATCTGTTAAGTGGCCAAGTATGCAACAATGCTGTATGATAAATAACTCTAGTAGAGATGAATTTAATTTTTTTTTTTTTTTGCTGTCATCTAGTATCAAGGGCCTAGGAGAAGTCATCTGTTGGTGGGCCAAAAATCAGAATAGCTAAGTCATCTCCAGAGACACATACTACGAATGGCAAGAATGATGAAAATGCTGTCCAGTTACTGAGTGAGGAACAATCTCTGAGCCACCTGACTTGCATTCAAATTTATCCTAAGAGGACCTCAGATGTTCATTCCTTAGCATCATCCAGGAGTAGACCCTAGAGACTACTAGAATGTTTGGAAGTTTGCCTATCTCATTGTACAAGCAGGTTCCTGAAAAGAAAAATGTTTCTTTTTTCCAAACGAAGTTAAAATGTTACAGCTTTAGAAAAGCCTCTGATACTTTAGTCTAATTTTCTAATGGTTTTAAATCATAAGTAACCACTAAAATCAGCTATAAAGGAAAACTTTGGCTCTGTGCTATCTATTATCATAACTTCTCTGGTGACTCAGATGGTAAGACATCTGCCTACACTGCAGGAGACCCAGGTTCAATCCCTGGGTTGGGAAGATCTCCTGGAGAAGGAAATGGCAACCCACTCCAGTATTCTTGCCTGGAAAATCCCATGGATGGAGGAACCTGGCAGGCTACAGTAAA